TTTCTTTTTTTTTTTTTTTTTTGTACCGGGGATCAAACTCAGCTCCTTCTGCTTGCAAGGCAGGTGCTGAATCCACCGAGCTAAAGCCCAGCCCTCTTTTTCTTTTTAAGACAAGGTCTCACTACGTAGCCCAGGCTGGCCTTGAACTCTCAGCCTTGACCCTCCTGCCTCGGCCTCCTGAGTGTGGGGATGACAGGTGTGCGCCCCCATGCCTGGTTCTTGCCCTTTTCTGCTGCAGTTCTGGCGTCCTCTTTCATGGGCGACTTTAGTAGGTGTGATAAAAAACAGAGTGACTGGGCCAGGGATGTAGTTCTGTGGCATTGTCCCTGCCTTGCAAGAGCAAGGTCCTGAGCTCAATCCCAGGAACAAACAAAAATGAAAGCAAAAAAATCCCCCCAAACCCAGTGACTGCTGCCACCGAGGGCCATCGAAGGGAAAAGCAGCTCTTAAAAACATGAGGGTGTCTTCATCCACCTCATTTATTGGACCTACCATCCCGTGTCTTCTGGCTCCTCCCAAAAGTCAAAATGACCACAGAAGAGAAGAGTGTTTAATCTCTTCAGGACACGGGGGCAGCCACAGCAGGGCTCCTAAAGACACTCAGGAGAGAGGACTCCAGGACTGCCTTGGGAAGTGACAAGAACCACGGGATAAGTGTGTTCTAAGCCCCAGGTGTGCGTGTACTTTTAGGGGGATAATGGCAGTGTGTTTTTGTAAAACATTTTTTAAAATTTAAACATGGTGTTTTCTGGTCTCACCTCATACTGAGCTCCCTGACCTGCCCGCTAAAGTGGCCACCCAGGCTGACGCCGGGGACGCCTCCCTCCTCCTTTGGCCTCGGTTTCCCCATCTGCGCGGTCTCAGGACCTTTACACTTTCCGCTCCAGCTTCTCAACCTACAGCTCCAAGCTCAGCAGAGAGCGAGCGTCCCTCTAAATTCTGCCCACAGTCCCAGAGCTGAGTCTCATTGGTCTGTTTCAGGTCACATGATGCCTGTAAGCCCATCCCTGAGGCTCCTATTGGCTCCTCTGCATCATGTGCTCGGCTGTGACATCGAAAGGTGCCCAGCCACGTGGAAGATGGCTGTAGTGGCTTCTGGGTCACTTCCAGCCCTGGGTGTGGGGCCGGAGGGTTCCCAGGGCCAGGGAGGGTCCTGACTCCCTTTTCCCCCAGGCCCCAAGCAGGACGCGGAGGCGGCCAAGAAATTCATCCTGGACATGTACACGGGGATGTACACGGGCTGCGTGGACGGCCTCGAAGGCAGCAAGAAGGGGCCGCGCTCCCGCCGCCTCTTCAGCCACTACACGTGCGCCACGGACACACAGAACATTCGCAAGGTCTTCAAGGACGTGCGGGACTCGGTGCTGGCCCGCTACCTGGACGAGATCAACCTGCTGTGACCCACGGCGCCCCCACCGCACCGAAGTGACCCCTGCCGGGCAGGTGGATCCCAGGCGTCCCCGTCACTCCAGCCTCGGGCCCAGGTGGCAGAAAAGCCCTCCGCGCCTCTCACCTGAACAGCGCCTCCCTTGACTCAGTTTACCTCTTCGGAAAGGGGAAGTGGAGCAGAATAGCCACTGGGGATGCTGGGGGAGGAAAAGTGAAGAAGACACCGAGGGGACCCAAGACCTGCAGGGGTGGATGTCTCTTAGGGACCCCCCACCCGAGAGTGTGTCACTGGGGCAGGGCTGGGCATTCCCCCGGGTGACCCACCTGGGTGGCGGGGCCGGCCTTCAGGAGCGGACTCTCGCGCCCCCTGGTGGACACCGGGAGGGACGCCTCGCTGAGCGCTTCCCGCCAGAGGGCTCAGTCAACTATCTCAGGACTTTCTCTGGCTCGGGGACACCATCTCCGAAAAGTGCTGTCCCTCCCAGATCCCCTAGCCTCAGTGTCCCGCCCCGTTCGCAGAGGAGGGGAACCGAGACACACAAACAGCGGTTTTCCTCCTTCCCAGGCCGAGAGCCAGGCGTACATCATGCAAATTAATCTTCTGTATTTATTCCCTTGCCTTTCGAGGTAGATATTAAAGAAAGGACATTGCAGAGACTGTGGTTTCTTAGGACCGGTGTCACCCTGTGCTCCACCCCCACCCTGTTCTCTCTTCCAGTTAGCTGGGCGGGTGCAGACGTACGGAGGATGGGGGGAAAACGTGTTGGGAGGAGAGGTTCCCTTTGTATCCGGCCGCTTGTGTGGGTGCAGCACCCAGAGCTCTGCCTGCCGGCGGTGATTTTGAGGAAGACATCGGAGTCTAAGCCGGCCGTGGTGGCGCACGCCTGTCATCCCAGCACTCTAGGAGGATGAGGCAGGACAATCAAAAGTTCAGGCCTGGCCTGAGCAATTTAACAAGACTGTGTAAGAAAAAAGAAAAGTTGCCGGGCGTGGTGGGAGGCTGAGGCAGGAGGATCACTGTGAGTTCGAGACCAGCCTGGGCTACATAGTGAGTTCCAGGTCAGTCTCAACTACATAGTGAGACCCTGTCTCAAAAAACAAAACAAAACAACAACAACAACAAAAAGAAAAATATACTTAAAGGGCTGGTGTGTAGCTCAGAACGAAGACCCTGGGTTCAATCCCCAGTGCCTCCCCTAAAACTTTGGGACTTATTTGATGTTTCTGTCATGGTCAGTGGAGATAATGGGCTTGAGAGACCACAGAGGTCAGGATGCTATCAAGTGTATGCCCTGTCAACATGGCTTAAGGAGTATATTTTCCTTATTCCTCTATTTATTGATTTAGGTTTTTCCTCTTTTTTTTTTTTTTTTTTGGTCTTGTTTTTGTTTTGCTATGTAGTTCAGACTGGCCTTGAGCTCACTATGTAGGCCAGGCTGGCCTCAAACTCCTGGTGATCCTCCTGCCTCAGCCTCTCAAGTGCTAGGATTACAGGCGTGCAACACCACACCCGGTTCCTCCTATTTTAATTTTGAATCGATTTCAGATCTATAGAAGTTGCAAAGTGATTGCAACAAATCCTATACATCCCCCAAGTGGGGTAGAGGCAGGTGGCAGAGGATCGCAGTGGCCCAAACCTACTCTAAACCTACTTCTACACTTGATCTTAGCCAAAAGGCCGAGAAGCGATTCTAAACCTACTTCTGTGAAGAAAGTTTTATTGGCACGTGGCCACACCTGTTCATTCTTACAGCTGATCTTCTGCCCCTGCAGAGCCAAAAATAAAATCAGATCCGCCCAACATTGGCTCAGAAAGATCTGAGAGAGAAAAGAAATACAGGACCACGAAGTTCTAAAAGGTACATCGGCTGAGCACCGAGCACCAAGTGAAATCCATACCACTTATTGCGTGCTGTGGGTTCCACCGGCCGAGGGACCCAGGCCCTCTCCAGCACTGGCCAGCCAGTCTGCCCCGAGCACGCGCAGATGTTTTTTTCACCTTTATTCCCTGAGGGAGACCGTGTAACAACTATTCACACGGCAGCTACATTGTAGCATCCAGAAGTGTTTCAAAGTCTGCAGGAGGCTGTGCAGGTTCTATGCAAACAGGTCTGATGGCAAAATAAAATGCATTTCAACTGTTTTTAAAAATTATAAAGAGGGCCGGGGATTTAGCTCGGTGATTCCGCCGCCTGCCTCGCAAGCACAAGGATCCCAGCTTGATCTCCAGTACCAAAACAAAAAAACAAAAACAAAAACAAACCAAAAACAAAAGTGTAAAAAAAACTTAGTACAAAGACATGTTGCCCAGAATCCCTCTCAAAATACTCTCCTGGCTGCAAATGCTCTTATTCCATTGTTCATGTCGTCACTGTTTCTTCCCCACTTTAAAACTGTTATTAGTATACATTTGCAGCGCGCAATGGTTACCCTCACTGTGCCGAGGTGTGGGCGTTCTCACCTGACGCCTCTCGATTCTTTTTACTCCTCCTTTCCCCTCTTCCACCTCCCTTCATCTATTTGTTTCCTTCCCATTTGCAAAAAGATGTTTCTCCCTCCGTTTTTCCCATTATCTGGCTTTGATTTCGCTCTTTAAATTTTACTTGGGGCTTCATATATAAGAGAAAACATGTAATGTTTAACTTGTGCGTCTTATTTATTTCAATGAACTTTAAGGTCTCAAGGTGCATCCTTTTTTCTTACAAATGACTCAGGTTTATCCTTCTTTACGGCAGAGTAGTGCTCCACTGTGTGTAAATACCATCCTTTTATCCAGGGGTGGGCATGTAGACCACTGGCAGTGTTTAACCACTGAATCGTGCTGCTGTCGACATAGACATGCATGCGCCACTGTCATCTTTAACTGACATCTTTAACTTTCAAGAAGACATCCAGGGGACCGGGGATTTAGCTCAGTGGCACCACGCCTGCTTCTCAAGTGCAACCCCTGAGATTGATCCCCGGTACCCACCCCCCAAAAAAAGAAGAGACCTAGAAGGGAAATAGTTGGGCCAAATGGAATTTCTACTTTCAGTTTTTTGAGGAATCTCCACACCGATTTCCATGCAGGTCACTCGGGTGTGCACTCCCTCTAACGATGCAGAAGGGTTCCTTTTCTCCCTACAGCCTAACCAGCATTGGTTATTTTTCGAACTTGGATCCTTGCACTTGCAAGGCAGGTGGCAGCACCACTGAGCTAAAACCTGGGTTCATTATTTGATTTCTTGATGACAGCCATTCTTTTGGGGTTAAGGTGGAATCAAATAGTCGGGTTGTTTTTGTTTTATTTTTGTTACTGGGGATCTGACTCAGGCTCTTGCGCTTGCAAGGCAGGCAGCAGAACCACTGAGCTAAATCCCTGGTCCCCAAATGTCATTTTAATTCACACTGTTGGGTGTGGTAACACTCACCTGCAATCCCAGCACTTGGGAGGCTGAGGCAGGAGGATCACTGCTAATTCCAGGCCAGCTGGGGCTCCATAGTGAGTTCAAATTCAGCCTAAACTACATAGTGAGACCTTGTCTCAAAAAACAAAACAAAACAAAACAAAAAAACAAAACCCTCCCCACACATAAGAAAATATTAATTTGATATGATCCCATTTGTTGATTCATGATATTATTTCTTGCACAATTGGGGTTCTGTTCAGAAAGTTCTTGGCTACACCTGAGTCAAGAGCTTTATTTATTTTTCCTGCAATCCCAGTGCTCAGGAGGCTGAGGCAGGAAGATCACTGTGAGTTCAAGGCCAACTTTGGTTACATAGCATGTTGGGCTAGACCTTGTCTCAAACCGCCCCCCAAAAGAGTTTTACCTATTTTCATCTTCCAGCAGGTTGTTTCTGTTTTAATATTTAGATCTTTTTATTTTAGCTTAGTTTTTGTGTGGTTTTTTTGTTTTCTTGAGACAGGGTCTCACTATGTAGTTGAGACTGCCCTGGAACTCACTATGTAGCCCAGGCTGGTCTTGAACTCACAGTGATCCTCCTGCCTCAGCCTCCCGAGTGCTGGGATGACAGGCGTGTGCCACCATGCCCAGCTAATATTTAGATCTTTGATACATTTTTATTTTAGTGCATGGAGAGAGATAGGGATCTACATTCAATCTTCTGCTTGGGGATAGCTAGTTTTCCCAGACTGATAGGTCTGATTCCTGATTCAATGCAAGCCCAAGGGAAATACGAACAGCATTTCTCACAGAACTGGAGAAAACAATCCTAAAAGTCGTATGGAACAAGGAGACAGAATAGCAACAGCTATCCTGGGAGACAAGACTACGAGGCATCAGAATCCCAGATTTGAAGTTATATAACAAAAATACCATGATAAGAACTGCATGGCATTGGCACAAAAATAGACATGAGGATCAGTGGAACAGAACAGAGGACGCAGAAACAACCCCAGGCATATTCAACTGTTTTGATCTTTAACAGAGGGGCCACAGACTCGCACTGACAGAAACAGCCGCTGGGAAACCAGCTGTCCATGCCTGCGCATAGGAGTGGCCGGCGAGTCCTGTTTCGTTGTCCTGAATGGATTCAAAACGCTTCCCTTTCATGATCATTTGACTTTGAGGAGGAGTCGGAAGTCGCACGGTACAGCTGTCTTCTGTGTCCCTCGCAGGTCCCCCTACCCGCTGCGTGTCCTGACTTTCTGGTACCCAGAGACTCCAAGTTTATTTTATTTTTTGGTTTTTTGGTTTGTCAGGGTCTCATTATGTAGTCGAGACCGACCTGGAACTCACTATGTAGCCCAGGCTGGTCTTGAACTCACGGTGATCCTCCAGCCTCAGCCTCCCCAGTGCTGGGATTATAGGTGTGAGCACCACCACACCCAGCTCCAAGCTCATTTTAGATTCCCCATGCTGCTCCTGGAATCAGTCACTGCCCCCAGTTAGCCCTGGATCACTTCCCCTCTCCTTTCTCTTTTGTTTTTGTTTTTGAGACAGAGTCTCACCAAGTATTTCAGGCAGGCTCTGAACGCGTGGTGATCCTACTGCCTCAGCCTCACTGGGATTACAAGTGCCCTCCACACTGGGCTTACTATCTATACTTTGGTACTTTATGTTTTCCCACTTAACTACAGGTCTTGGGAGCCAAGCATGATGGCGCATACTTATTATCTCAGCACTCTGGAGGCTGAGGCAAGAGGATCACTGTGAGTTCAAGGCCAACCTGGGCCCTCGTAGTGAATTCAAGGCCAGCCTGAAACATGTAGCAAGCGAGTTTGTTTTCTGTCTCAAGAAAACAAACAAACAAAAAAACCCACATCATCGAGTGAGTCCTCAAGTCTGTTTACCTAGTGGAGAACTTCCTGGTGCTTTCATACCGCTCTGTAGTGCTTCCTCAGGGCCGTGGCTCAGCTGCTGTCCCGCGTGCAGACTGGTTTGCTTTTTAGTCTGCACTGACTGATCATGCTGGTGATGGAACCCAGGCAAGCGCTCAGGGCCCAGGCTAGGGTCGGGGCTCAATGCTGGATATCTGCTTTGTCACTTCCAGTGACCGGGCGCCGACTCCTCCCCTGCCTTCCCAGTCACTGCCCCCCCCCTTCAGTCTGCTGACTCAGCCCTACCGCCCCCTTCCTGGGGACACTCTGGCTTGGGCCCTTGAGACACTGTCCCTTTCACTGAGACACCTGTGCTCTCGGGGGACAGTGGCTGGTGGAGCCGGTGTGGCCGCCCCTCCTGTGGCTCAGAAAAGCTGGTGGCCACATGTGTGGGGCAGTGGAGACCTGGCTGAGGGTCTGGGTGCAGCGGATGAGTCTTGGGTCCCTCTCCCGATCCTGTGGCCCGTGTCACACCCCAGACCCTTCTCGGGGGACAGCAGGGTCACAGGCACAGGGCAGGTGGGGTGCAGACCCGCCTTCGCACCCTGTTGGTCAAAGTCAGGGCTCCGGGGAGCCGGAGCCTCTTCCCCCTTCCCTCCCGTCTTCTTGTGTCACCCAG